ATGATTTAAGACAAACCATGTCAACACCATTGCTGAGTATGTTCTCCTTAAAACTGCAGTGAACCAATGACAGTCTCAAAAATGCAGATTGAAATCGCTGGTGTTTCTGACGTCACAAACTAATCACGTCAATGTGCGATCGTCAACGAGTGGATCTTTGAGCTGATGTGAGCGAGAGGGCGCGGGGCTAATTTGCATATTCATAGAACCACGTATACTAAACGAGGCAGGGGTGTAGATTTACATTCAAGCTATTTTAAAGGGATAGCCTACTCCACCCAAAAATGAAAATTCTGTCATCATTTACTCACCCTCAAGTTGTTGCAAACCTGTATGAGTTTCTTTCTTCTGCTGAACACAAAGGAAGATATTTTGAAGAACGATTGGAACTTTGGCACTATTGACTTCAATAGTATTTTTTTTTTTTCTACTATGGAAGTCAATGATGCCAAACAACTGTTTGGTTCCAATCGTTCTTCAAAATATCTTCCTTTGTGTTCAGCAGAAGAAAGAAACTCATACAGGTTTGCAACAACTTGAGGGTGAGTAAATGATGACAGAATTTTCATTTTTGGGTGGAGTATCCCTTTAAGGCATTAAGAATTTTTTTTCAAGGAAAAAACTTTTAAATATGTAATTTTGGTGATCAAAGATGAGTTTTAAGGGATCAAATTATTGACTATACAGGGGGACTTTAAAGATGATTTGGGCACTTTTCAGCTAGAAAACAGTTTTCTGACTATCTAAACCATCTGAACACCAGCTTGGCAGGCTATGAGACCATCACTGACTTTAGAGACAGAAGGAGAGCTGAAAAAGACCTGCAAATTTTATGTCAGCACCATAGGGTAAAACACTGTAATATAATGTTGTAATGTGAGGATTTATTGTTTTGAATCTGGCATCCCCTAATCACACAAGCAGATTGAGAACAGTAGCTCCAAACGGAGAGTGAGTGTGGGTTGCCTCCATTACAGCTGTCGCTTTGAAATCTATTTCCATCTCAACCTTGAGTCAAAACTTTACCACCAAGCTATCACTTACCTTGCTACCCCACACAGTGGGGAAAAAAGAGTTTAGCAGTAAACCCGGCCGGAGTTTACTGCAAGACTAGGGTTCAATTAGTCACTCATCGTCATGCAGTGCGAGCTTGACAGACAGGCCGACCAGCAGTGATCCGGTTTGAATATGGGGGTGGATCCTTTAAATAGAGCTCTGAGCAAGCAACGGTGTTCGAATCAGATATGGTGAAGAGGTTGAGGATGGGTGCAACCTTTGTACAAAATGAGAACTGAAATAGTGCAGAGGTGAAAAAATGTAGAACTGAGAAGGTTGTTGTCAGTTTCTGAGGTCTTCTGCTGCAGGTGTGAGTGGGACTTACCACGTTGATGTAAGTGAGCATGTGTTTGTGTGAGTGTGTCTTGGAGGTTAGAATGTCAAGCCATGCATCTTGTCACCTATAACCTAGAATGTCAACAGGCCATTAGAGACACAAGCTGCAGTTTACCATCAGACCAGACAAACGGACACATAAATATAACCTCTGCTCTCAGCAAGAGTAAAAATGCTCAGCCCGGTCACTTTTAAATTTGAACTCATTAAAGAATCCTAAAAAATGTATCACGTTTTCCACAAAAATATTAAAGTATTTTGTTGTTCGAATATTACCTTTCATGTAGAGTTTCATATAGCTGTTTGTGAATGTAAAAGGTCTGCAAAGTGCACGGCAAATAATGTCCAGTCTCACTTCCTGTTACACTGTTAACAATGTAAAAAAAATTCATAATGCCAGCCTATGGTCTTAATTGGCTGCCTGCGAACAACGTCCCGCCCTCAAACGCTAGTTGTAGCTGAGGCCTGGAAGAGTTTGGTTTGTGTTGTCGACATGTCTGCACTGTGAATCCACTTTGATGCACTTCAAAAGAAAGAGGACTCGTGCCGGAACATACGGAAAAACCGACACCATCGTTACTGTTCGTATCACTATATATTAAGTAAGCTGTAGACCAATTACAACAGGCTGGGCCATCTGACCAATCAGAGCAGAGTAGGCTCTAGGAAAGGAGGGGTTTACAGAGACCGAAGGTGTGTTCCATTCGACCGTAAGTGGACTGCGAAGTGGACTTCACAGGGTATTTCGCCATCTTAAGTGAGATTCCAAAACGAAGGGAACGAACATGTTCAGTTCGAAGGGCACTGAAAACGGCATAGGGAATAAGGGAACATCGCTTCACAGGAAGTCAGTGAAGTCCACTTCAACTGATATACCGTGCTCAGGGAGTAGGGAGCAGTGAACACTTGTGTAGGGACCCTGTCGAATGGAACGCACCTCGATCCTGCGTCCCAATTCGCACATATCCGTCCTAAATAGTATTCGAAAATAGAATTAGTACGTCCCAAATCGTAGTATGTTGAAATGAGTGTCCCAAAGAGACCCGGATGGTCTACTATATCCGGTCAGAATCCGAAGTGCAAATCGATGCGCACTCTAACGGCTGATATTGCCTACTACAACCCATCGCGCGTTGGACGAGGATTCGGTTAGAACTACAAACACGAATGAAAAGTGTTCAAAAACTACAGACATGGAGGACGCACGAGTCCGACGGTTATGTAGAGAGGTTTAGATAAAGGGGTTTGAGTGATTAATTATCAGTATCTAACCTGACGAAAATGTATTTATTCAATGTTGTCCACATTATATTGCATCTGCAGCAGCATTGTGAACTTTTGCAAAGATACGTTTAGCCATTAACTTTTAAATGCATCATTATATTCAAATTCCAAACACATGAGGAGATTCTCCACATGAAAGACCCATGACTGGCAGATGAACGTGCGACAACAATTCTCTCCGAAATAGTAAGAAGTTATATTAGATTGAATGGAGGATTTTAACCGTGACGAGATGATTGACAGGGCAGTTTACGGTGACAGGATGCACGCGACAGATCTGTCCGTTAAAGATGACGAAGTAGTATGTCCCAAAGCTTGCCTACTCTTTTGCTACACACTCAAAAGTATGTAGGCCTACTTTTTCTTCACAAAAAGAGTATACTTTTATGGCGTAGTAGGGACGCAGCACGAATCTTTAAACAAACTGTTTTCAGACTCTTTGACAAATTAGGTGATGTATAGCTATTAGGCTATGAGAAAATTTGATTTTTTTTTTTTTACCTCGGATGCATGTGAACCTATTGGAGACCTCCAAAACAAAATGAGTAGCCTTTAAAATAGCACAATATGGTCCATTAAAGCAGCACAACTGTTTTCAACATTGATAATAATAAGAAATGTTTTTTGAGCAGCAAATCAGCATATTAGAATGATTTCTGAAGGATCATGTGACACTGAAGATTGGAGTAATGAAGCTGACGTGCGTGCGTGTGTGTGTGTGTGTTTATAGCTGTGAAAAAGTTTTGATTCTATGAGTGGGCCTCCGCCACAACTTATGTTGTGACAATGAAGTCTATCTAGATCTTCTGGCGCCATCGTCTGGTGAGATAGTGGCAACATATGATAATAGGGCCCGTCCCAAGTTATGTATGGAGTTTGGAACATGTTCCACATTGGTGAAGGGAGGCAGGAAGGGTGAGACAGGAAATTATGATGCAACATACAGTGCTTGTCTACAGCAGAATTATTCAGGATCAGTCACATTTCTTTTCCTTAAACATTGTTTTAAGGTAAACCGTTTAAGGTCCACCAATATAAAAAGTCTTTGTGGTAAGAATTACAAAATCAGCGTATAAAAACCATACCCGTAGGCATACTTTTAACAGTGTTAGGACATAGTTACGGATGTCAGAAAGATTGCGCACTCTACACCGCAGAAAGGGAACAGACAGCATTACTTGTTCGGGTTTGCCCAGGCCTGTGAATTCAGTTTATTCACTGGATTCTTTTTTATGACCTCATGCAATCCTGTGGGTAAATTCTATAATGGATTCTCCTGAAAGTCTTAAATCCAAATCACAATGTTTAATTTAACTGAAAGATACAATTACAGATTAATCAAATCTAATTTCATTAGGTATTCTGTGAACAAAAAATTATTCTTATTATCTTAACAACTTAACACAACTATAGTTTTGTCATTATTAAGAGCACCGGCACTTAGCCTATACTGCAAAAAAAGCCGTCAATGGAATTGCATGACAAGTAAATTATTTACCACACTCTTTGTTCTCGATTACAGCATTTAGCCTGTTCTAAAGTGATAAGACCTAAATAAATCCTTTTAATTGTCAAAAACCTAAATTTAATAATGAATAAATAATTTCATAACAATTACACTGTAAAAAAAATATGATTAATAAGTTATGACAACATGTTTTTACATTGCTTTAACTCACTAAAATAAGTTTAGGCCTACAAGATTCAACTCATTTTTAAAGTCAGTTTAATTTAATTTAAGTTGAAATTACTTAAACATCCAAGTTGATTGTACTTAAAAATTAAAAGGAGCAACTTTTTTTAGTGTAATTAATTAACTGTTTGCGTTGACATTAATTTTGAAATAATTTATACTAATTAAATTTAACATTTACGTTTAATTATTTTAATATAAGAGGATGATCTGGAATGTTGTCCAGGGCCCCATAAAAAAAGGGGGACCCACTAAAATCATATAGGCATGTCCAAGACTCGCCCCAACTCAATTCCTCTCTTTTGCCTCTCAAAATTTCAAACATTCTATTGATCACAATAGGCTAAAAGTTTCCCATTGATCTACAAGCACATTCCTGGATTAAGGAGTGGCCTGGCTGGAATGCCAATGATTTATTTGTCCAACGACGTCATATACCTGGCAGGACACGTGTAAAACAAGGGGTGGCTCTTCCGTAAGAATTACACAGGTCGTGCAAAAACTGCTGACCGGAGATCAACCGTGAACCCGTTCCGCTGGGACTTGACTCTGCGCCGCAGCTGATTCAGGATCAGTTACGCCTCATTCTCAGCCCTTAAACCGTTGGGGACAGGGTGGGGTAATCCGGAAGTGGGCCGAAAAAAGGAAGAGTTTAGGCAACTGAACAAATTGGGTGAAGAGAAAGCAAGGGGAGGGAAAGAAAGACTTCATGACATTAAAACTCATTCATTAATTCGAATGAGAAACCGACCGACTGCTTGAACACCAAAACGCTTGCTCAAGCTAAATTCAACATTAAAAGTCTTCTGTCTGGAGATAATATCTCGTTGCTGTTATTTGTACAAACACTATTGTTTGTATTTAACGAGATTGAAAAAAGCACCGCTGCGATTTAAAAGACAAGCGCGTGAACCATCTGATCCTCGCGTTACTTCCACTCGCTCAGTCTGCGTTTGACTTGTTGGCGGGGCGTTGGTGCCTTGGACTTTTTTTCTTCCTCTTCCTCGCGTCTCGGTCCACTACTACGCTGCTCGGTTGGAATCTGATTTATTCGACCACACTACACCTAAAGTAATACATTAAAATGGCCGGATCCAACAGCATCGATGCAGTTAAGAGAAAAATCAAAGTTTTACAACAGCAGGCAGATGAGGCAGAAGAAAGAGCCGAGATTTTGCAGAGACAGGTCGAGGAAGAGAAGCGTGCCAGGGAGCAGGTAAGTGTATCATTATATCCATAGCGATGCTTTTTTTTTATCACGTTAAAGTGTCGCACTTATCCGTACAATCGTTATGTTGTATCACATGCGTTTCTACCGAGCTCGTGCGCTTTTTCATTCACACCCAGATTCAACGCCCTATACGAAGAATTATGTGTTTGTATCTCTTTAAAACTTATTTCGATATCTAATAAACATCGAGAATGCTCTTAGGGTGGCCTGTGACAACGATATGTTCATTCTAAACCATAAAATCTAAGAAAATATGGGCCGGTTAGATGGTAATTGCAAACCCTACAAGCTAATGCGCGCCTTGACTCCTCTTCATTGATGATTTTCATTTGTGCTAATAGGTTTATAGTTAATAAGATCAATGCAAAACTAAGAGCCAGATATATTGGCTTAAATAAATACAAAAATCGTGCGATGACATCTCACTTTGTGTGTGCTTAGATGTGCTAACCTCAGATGGGTTTATAGCTCATCCTCTTAGTCTCGCATTGTTGGGTTTTTTGCGGGTGAGGCCTAAAGGAAGTAACAAAATAGTTTCGCTGAATCACTCATATTGGCTTTTTTTTTTAACAGAAGCTTCCATTCGTGTAATTCTATGTTCAAATAGTGCCTTTCACGTCATTGCTGCGTTATCATTCGAGTACATTAACATCTGGGTCATCAGGTGCTCATCTCGGCACTTTGAGTTGTTCACGCATGTCACTTGGGCATTTTAGCAGCCTATTCGAACCTTTGACAACTGTTATGAGTTTTAATTAAATTAGACACTTGTCTTGGATATATATTTTGTTTTGCTTGACGTCGCTTATCGCTCAACCATGCCGTCTCTTTGGCATTGCGTGAGATGAACTCACCCCGCAGACTTTAGATTCCTCAGTCCTTATTAGGAGCGAAACTCCAGTATTTGTTAGCGGTGTCGTCATATCCGGAATCCGTGCACGAGCGCTGTTTCTCAGCTGACGAGGCGCGGCCGCGCGGAAGTTAACCTGCTTTTGCGTTTCGGGCCCAATGAGTAAAGCTTCTGTCATATTTGATGTTACTGTATAAACAATGTTAATCTTTAATATTTTTTAAATAAATGTTGTTGAAGTGCCCCTCCTTATTAAGTTACACGTCTTGAATTAAAGGCATGAATGATGGTTCCCTTACAAAAAATTACCTCAGGAATTCTGACACCATACTAGTAGTTATTTCAGATATTGCTGCGAGAATGGAACTGATAACCTTGTAATTCTTGCTTTTATCTTAAACGCATTCTGAAATCTTGACTGTTTGAACGTTTAGCTACATATTGTCTGGATATGGCTGGGGCCCCAAAGGGCCTCAGTACAGTTAAGAGCCCATTCCTATGATATTTGTGGTTGTTACATTGTTGCTAGTGTGTTGTGGCTGGTTGCTAAGGCGTGGCTAGAAAGTTGCAACGTTCTTGTGAATAATTGCTATGTCTACAGTATTTTGATCCAGAAATGTCTATTTCCTTTTTGTCTGTGGGATTTTTCGGCCATGTTTTCATGTGTTGGGTGAACATCTGACAGCCAATTAGTCCGAAAAGTTATAGCACACCTCTCATCATCAGTAAGCTACATGATTTGAGGCATCAGTCATGTCCGTAGCTCAAACAGTGCAACAAGTTCCACGGTGAAATGTTGTCTGGAAGGAGTATTTGAAAAATCCCTAACCTTAGTCAGAGCAATATTAATATTGCCGCCTTGCTAAAATAATTTTAGTCATTGTGTACACTCCGCACATTAGTATTGCCCTTTCCAAACATAGTGGTTCCACTCTGCTAAAGCAGAAGCTCCCAAATGATTCTACCACATGAGGGTTTTCCACTGTCTCATTGGTTCCATTTTCCAATTTGGTCTCCATGTTTGTCGGCTTGATTCTTCTAGGTTATCCAAGTGTTTTCCCACCCTCCTGTTCCTTATCTCACGTCACTTCACGCTCCCTGTGTGACTCCTGAAGTTCAGTGGATTAGTCTGTCTGCTCTATTCTCAAGTTGTTTTTGTCATGTTTGCCTTCTAGGCTGAGGCAGAGGTGGCCTCTCTGAACAGGCGTATCCAACTGGTTGAGGAAGAGTTGGATCGTGCTCAGGAGAGACTGGCCACAGCCCTGCAGAAGCTGGAGGAAGCTGAGAAGGCCGCAGATGAGAGCGAGAGGTACGTACTTTAACATACGTGCGCTTTCAGAGTTCTGTTATTTCTACATTCATCCCACCCTAACTTGCCCTACTTTCCTTTTAATTTGCTCTCTCTATGGAATAGAGGGATGAAGGTGATTGAGAACAGGGCTCTGAAGGATGAGGAGAAGATGGAGCTCCAGGAGATCCAGCTTAAGGAGGCCAAGCACATTGCTGAGGAGGCCGACCGCAAATACGAGGAGGTAATATAATGGTGTAATTTATTTTGTACTATTATAGTATTTTGAATTGTTTTTTCAGTAATTATAGTACTTACACTTTTCTTAATTATATTGCCAAGGCAACATTTTGTTTGATTATTACTTTTTTACCTGAAATTATGAATAAAACTACTTCTTCTAGGGACTACTACTTTTTTAAGTTTTAGCTTAAATGTAAATGTATTGACGACAAGTTGGAATTAATAGTTCTTGTAAAATAAAATTCCATAACCAGGAAGTATTGATGTGTGTTACAGGTGGCACGTAAGCTGGTGATCGTTGAGGGAGAGTTGGAGCGTACGGAGGAGAGAGCAGAGCTTGCTGAGAGGTTAATCTCGGTTTTAAAATCAAAATACACACGCACATAATCCTTGAACACATTTACAGTACATACCACACATACTGTCAGCTTTAGCTAATATTCCTTAGTGTCCATTTAGTCCCATTAAAACTCAAATTCATTGTTCACTGAGCGTGAGAAAATGCCTAATTTTGCATGACAATAGGAATGCTCTACCATAACCATAATCCTCCTTTGTGTGTGTGAGAGAGATTGAGATCGAGAGATAGAAGGATAGAGTGTGAGTGTGTGTGTATGAGTGATTTCATTGGCTTGAATCCATCTTAAATTCATATGTCCCCTCCCTTCTCATTTGTGTTTGGGCATGTGTGACCTTTGACCTGACATACCTTCCCCTCCCCACTCAAACTAACAGCCGTGTCAAGCAGATGGAGGAGGAGCTGAGAGCTCTTGACCAGACACTGAAGACTCTGCACGCCTCAGATGAGAAGGTATATATCCTGGTTGCAAAAGTCTGTTGACGTGTCGGACACTGTGTGTCCGTTTGTTGGAGACGTGGGTATACAGACAATTGGAGAATGTTGCCCTCTACCTGGATCCGGAATTTGTCTACTTGAGTGAAAGAGTGAAAGTGAATTAGCAAGATAGTCACCAATGAAAAAAAGCAACAACAAAAAAGACTCCTCCTTCCAGCACTGGTCGTTTTTATCTTTCCACCCTATCCCTTCATCTTTCCACCTTCCTTCCGCTCATCTAACCATCCACTTCCAGGTATCATTCTTTTGTAAACCGCATGAGTCGTATTTACTCAAGTGGCATGATCTGCATGCTCACGTAACACGCATCACTCGCTGTGCATTTTTGTCTCATCTACCTAAATCCGAAGCGTACGTGTTCATGTTCCACTACAAACTGCTTAGAACAGCTCATGGCAACTTTCAGTTTTAGAATCACACTAGTTTTGCTTCCTTGACCCTTAAAATCTGCTCACACAGTGGTGCTCATAGTATAATCTGAGGGTTTACTAGATATTCGTTATGTGCGATTGGCAGTATGTTATAAAAACCAAGCACTTTTGGCACAGATGACAAAACAAACTACACTACATTTAAGGGGATGGCGCATGCATAAATGAAAATTGTTGTCATGTACTCATGTTGTTTGAAACTTTTGATTTTGTTTCTTCTGATCTGAAAAACAGATTTTCCTGTTTTTCATACAATGACAGTGAAAACGATTGAGGGCCTTCAAGCTCCAAAAAATGACCTCAAAAGCGGTTAATGCAATGTGTGATATATTCTTTGAAGCTTCTGAAGCCATATGAATGAGGCACCGCATTTAAATCGTTATTTGCCGAGATCCTAAAATGAAAATTGCCATTTACTCACCCTCAAGTTGGTCTAAACCTGTATGAATTTCTTTCTTCTGCTGAACACAAAAGATATTTTGAAGAATGTTGGTAACCAGACAGTTGATGTACCCCATTGATTGATTTTTTTTTATAGTTGGAATAAAAAATATTATGGAAGTCAATGGTGCTACATGACTGTTTGGTTACTGACATTCTTCAAAATATCATCTTTTGTGTTCAACAGAAGAAAGAAACTCATACAGGTTTGGAACAACTCGAGGGTGAGTAAATGATGACAGAATTTTCCGTTTTGGGTGAACTATCCCTTTTAATTTGTCATCCCCACAGAAATATATTTACAGCACATATACATTTCTGTTGAAATGTTTGGGGTCAGTCAGATAAAAAAAAAAAATAAAAAAAACTTTTTTGAAAAGTCTCATTCACCAAATATGCATTTATTTGATAGTTTATTTATTTATTATTGGTCATTTTTGGAGCTCCTCAATCACCTTCATTGTATGGTCATATGCAGGGCTGCAAAGTATAATTTGTTTGTTTAAGTCCTACATAATTAAAATGACATGAGGCAGTGTAAATGATGACAATTTTTATTTTTGAGTGAACTGTCCATCGCAAACCAATTATTTAAGGCCTCTCTTACTGTTCATGTGTTTAACGTCATCACTCTGCCACTTTTGCTGGCTTGTCTTGTCTTCCCTTTGCCCTGTGCCCCTTTCTTTTCTGCTTCCTCCAAAATCAAAACGGCTGCTCTGTATATAGCAAATGCGCTGAGCTGGAGGAGGAGCTGAAAAATGTCACCAACAATCTTAAGAGTTTGGAGGCCCAGGCTGAGAAGGTAGGGTGTGTGTGTGTTTTATTCTGCACGATCTCTGACTGGTTGCAGTGTTCATCCCTTTTTTTAACTCTCAAAGGAACTCTGATTCAATCCCCACAAATGTGCCTTGCAAATTGCCTTCCAGGCAATTAAATTTAGGCTCTCTAATTTCCAAACCAGTGATCTATCCGCTCAAGTGTGCATAATATGAGCTTCCTCATTTCCAAGTGGCCTTTTGCCTGATATATGGCTGTACATCACCCATAGCAAAAGGCCACATATGTCGGTCCAGATTACAGTGGTAGACCATTACATCAAGAGAAAGCTGTAATTGACCACAGGGACGAAGTAAAGACCCCCTCTCATTTCCATATCCATCTTAACCTGATGAGATGTTATTTAGCATGCCTGAAGGTCTGTTGCATAATGAAATTAAGTGTCACCATTTTGGTGCCTTATAGAATCAAGCGCAACCGGTCTCGGATGCCTTCAGACTAATTAAGCAGAAATGACACTGATAAATGCTGTTGCATGAGATCAACTTATTTCGCCTGTTTGTTTGCATGTGATTTGACTGCATGCTGTGTGTTAAGGGATAATGTACATCCAGCCTGTTATCTCAGAATAAACCCAGACAGGGGGATCAGGTCTTGCATCACCCTGAATGGGGTTTATTCTGAGATAACAATCGGCTGGATGTACATTTTCCTGCTTATTATACGGCTATTTGCCACATAAGTAAATAATTAGACAAAATATTGATCAGAGTTGAAATAATTTATTAGATAAAGCTTCTGCGGAGAGAGCAGTTGCTAGCAAGCGGCAAGTTTAGACTAGACGAATATTTAAGGGATACGGTACAGTAAGACCACTTATTACACAGCGTTTCACTACATAAATAATTATGGGGATAAGAGATATTGATTTGAGATGAAACCGTTTTAAAATTGGACCTGTTTGTTGTCTTATAATCCAACAGTGTACAAAACAATAGTCGCAAAATAGCAGCAGCTGCATTTGTATGAAACGAGAAAGCGATTCCATGATACTAGATGACATAATTAAATAACTCTACATAAAATATTGATTCGACGGAGTTTTAATATTTTATTAGCTCACCAACATAACTTCCACGATGAAAAACCACTCCTAGCAAGTGGAGCTGCTGCTGACTTCAGTAACCCGGATGAGACTGTTTTCAGCGGTTGATTGACCAATCAGAATCAAATATTCCCACAGAGCCGTGTAATAATGTACTATATAATATTAGGTGGAATGCTATTATTGCAACCCTTTTATTTCCCTAATGAAATCTATTATGGTTTGCAAGCATAAGTAATGATGGTGGTTTAACTGTCTCAAATACAGTGCAGGAAGTTTTTATTTTTTTATAATCTAAATATATTTGTTATTGGTAGATCAGTTATGAGGTGGTCTTGTTTTTTTTTCTTTTGTCTTAATGGCAGATTTCAAAGTAAATATTTAGCGCTTTTATATTGTATATTTTATAATCCCTAGATTCACTTGTAGGGATCTGTACAAAAATGGTATGTGTGTATATATATATATATATATATATTTTATATTATCGACATGGCATAAAAAAATTATATACTGCACATGTATATACATCTTTGTGAATCTCCCCTTGAATTCTGAAATATTTTTTTCCCTTTCTATCATACCTGGTGTTTTGTTGATGTTGCAGCTGCATTCCTGCACACATGTCCTGATCTGTTTAAAACTTTGGCAGAACACAGCAGCAAAATCAGCTATCGTGTCACAAGCCTTGCACAACAGCAGCAGGCCAGGGCTCAGCCAGCCCGCATAGAAACGTCGAGGAAAAGGGGGGGGTCAAAGCATAGACAGCTGTGCTACCTTACGTCTTAAGAGCTGTTGTAGAAACATGTCAGTGTTAAAGTGTCATAAAATTGGTTGTCTCTGTTTGAAGTGTGCCAAACCCAAAATACAACTCATAGGGTGTTTGTGCATGCTGAGTTGTAAGATTCTAACAAGACCCCACCCCAACTCATATTTCTTCTTTTTCACTACAGTATTCCCAGAAGGAAGATAAGTATGAGGAAGAAATCAAGATCCTCACTGATAAGCTGAAGGAGGTGAGAACTTCTCATGGAAGATTTGGCTTCTATTAGGGCTGGCAATTGAATGTTATCTTGAGGTTACATGTATATTTAAATGTTTACCAAATTGGGCCTCATAAATGTCTTTTAAAGACTATCCAGAAGTTGAAACCTTCTGGAGAAAGGGTTTGCTAATCATTTTATAGGACGCTTTGAATAAAAGCATCTATTAAATCTAAATGCAATTGCAAGGATCTTAGTTGCATATTTTGCTTTCTGATTTGAATCTGTATGCATTTCTTTTTTCTTAGATGTAGTTCATTGTTTTAGAGGGAAATTTGAACTTGACAGTAAACAAAAAAGCAAAAATTACTTTTCAAAACAAGTGTAGTCCTGCCACAAACTCATGCCATTGGTTATGTTGCACCAATAGCATGTCACACCAATTACAATAATAACTTTATTCTATAGATAATCATGATTTTTTGTATGTTACCTAGTAGTTTGATCATGCATGAATTTCTTTCCCTGCCAGAGTTATTTACCATCATAATGTTTGTTAATATTTTAATTTTAAAGTTTTAATAAATTAGTGTTTTTGTAATTTCTAGTAGATTTAAAAAAAAAAAAAAAAAAAATCTGTATAGTTTTAGCTTACGTTATTTTAGTACTTAAAGGTATTGTAGGTAGAATTTTTTTAAAAAACTTTTTGCCAAATTTGTTTAAACTTTCTATATATATCAATGCACAATTAAAATGTAAGTACTCTGGAAAAGAGAGTATAAAAATCGAGTGTCTGTAGTCCTCTCAGGGCTGTAATAAACACAGCTACTTATCTCCATTCACTTCCACCCCCTCCATTCTGGGCTCCTTCCAAAACCACGCCCCCAAAACACATGAACGTGCGATGCCGACAGCTCACAGCTGGAGGACGCGCTTACTAGCGCCGAGCGGAGAGGAGCAGTGCATGTAGTGACATCATGTCAGACTCACATGTAATAAAATACCTAACTTTATCATTATGAATATAAACAACTAACATGGCTGTTAATACTCACTATCAAGCTAGCATATCGATACTGTTAAAGTTTAAAATATATTGAGTTTGATTCGTTAACGAGCTAGTAACATAAAGCAAAGCTAAAAACAGGTTGCATTGATACACGTTTTCCCATTACAATCAGTTACACTGTGATGAAGGTGAATTTTGTGTAAGATTCATAACATATACGCCGTGTTTTGCATGTAATTGTGTCTCTTACTAGTCTCTTACCCTCCTCGAGTCAAACGAGTGCGCGCATGTGGGCAGCGCATGTAGCAGCGGGGGTGTTGCCATGGTTGCGAGAGAGTGACAGTCGCCTAAGCCAATCCTTTGTTTCGTCCCGGAAGGAAATAATGAGCTGTGTTTAGTGCAGATTAAACGGTCTAGAGTCACTCGATTTTTATACTCTTTTTATCAGAGTACTTACATTTTAATTATGCATTGATATATATAGAAAGTTTAAACAAATTTGGGAAAAAGTTTTTTAGACCAAAAACGACCTACCCAACCTTTAACCTAAACGGAAATTAGATATTTCAAGTTTCAATTTAAAATTAGCTTTATTAGCATGACTGTGAAACACAATGTTGCCAAAGCATATTATAATAATAAATAATAATAATAATAAAACAAACAGTGAACATATATGTATAAATCATGTCATATGTAGCATTGTAAATATATAGATAAATAAACACAATCTATCTTAATAAATAGATAAATAAATACATTTGAAGTAATGAATAGTTTTGTTTTTAAATGGTTTTAGTTAAATATAATTCCCCTGTTCTCTGCTAGGCTGAGACCCGTGCTGAGTTTGCCGAAAGGTCTGTGGCCAAACTGGAGAAGACCATTGATGATTTGGAAGGTATGATTCCGTCGTTCTCTCTTCACCCATTTCTTCCATTAGCTACAATATGGTCCTGTTTTTTTTATACTGTTCATACTCTTTTCTTAGCATAATCTCACTGTCCTTTTCCTTTCCTCCGTTACATTCATAATCTTTATTTGCTGTTTTTTCCTATTTCCTTTTATCTTTCCTTCATACTCTCTCCCTCTTCCGACCTTTTCCTTCCTCTCTGCTCTGTCTTTCTCTGTGTGTGTGAACAGATGAGCTTTACGCTCAGAAACTCAAGTATAAGGCCATTAGTGAGGAGCTGGATCATGCTCTCAACGACATGACCTCTATGTAAATATTGGCCCTTGCATGTGTGTGAGACTGCTACTCATGGTTTGCTTTTTGTAGGACGATTGAGTTTTGCTGCAATGGCAGATTTGAGTCTCGTGACCGAGCTGGTTACCTAACCTTGAGCTTCATAACCTCTGATCATATACTTTTACCATACAGTATAAAGCTCAGCCGCAAGGAGTTAATCGTTGACACGAGCTGTTATTTCACAGATTCTTTTGAACTGCTGCTTTATACGAGTTTGTGTGAATGGCGTTGTGATCTCTATAGTGTGATTCTAACCCATACGTCAAGTAACTAATATGCTAACTATGAAATGGTTTCATATTTACCTACAGATAAGGGGGACATTCTGTGCTTTTTGTAGTTTATTTCTTGCTAAAGTCCACTTGAACTGCAAAAAGACATGGTTTAGTTTATTACTATTTTTTAGCCTCCATTAAACAGGCCAGATTTGCTGTCCCTTTAAAAGTTTTTATGTAAAAGGCCTCTGTTTTGAACATCCTAATAGTTAAATAAGTCTGACTCTGCAATGTTTCTGGATACTGAATAGTGCTGCTATGCAAATGTGAGTGATCATATGTTAATGTACTAATAGTTGGACTTCGTAACTCGTTTTATAGCTTACTTTCTATAGGCTAAATGGGTTTTTTGGATTGTGGAATGACGTCATGTTGTAGACTAACCTGAATAACCATATATTTCCATGATATGTCCCCTTTAAGGCTCTCATTTAAATAAATAAAATTGGTATTTTGAGCTAGTTTGTTTTAGAGCTGTTGTTTTTAATATTTTTCTTAACTGCTTGCTTGTTAAATTTGCGACTTTCCTCATTCTGAAATGTAGAAATATTCTCACGAGGTATTTACCATTGGTGTCTGTTTACAGATAAAGATTTTCTGGACTGTTCTGTGGCTGACTGTGACTTCAAGAAATTCTTCATCTTGTCTGACTGTCAATATTTCTTGGATATTTCTTTTCTGATCTTTTGTGGACACTTCCCTTTTCATGTATTTTTCCTTGTGCTTATTTCTGTAGTCTCCGTTTCTCCATTTAAGTCCTGTTATGTTTCTGCGTTCTCTGAATTTCTGTTCTTTAGATATTCATTTTCTCTGAATTTCTGTTCTTTAGATATTCATTATCTGCCCCAACATCTTCCTCTTATCTGCATCTGACTATTCAGAGACGTGTGTTCTTTTGTCCCTGGTTTTGCTCTCTCTTGTGTCTTTTGCTGTATTTTTCATGCCTTGTGTACATGTTTATTGAATGGAGGAAAAAAGCTCTGCTCTCTTTTGAATGTCTGCTTGTCTCTTATTGCAATGTGCTGGTGTTAGGCAACCAAGCATTTGCCTATTTTAGATTGCGCATGAATAATATCTTATGGTTGAAAGAGAAAAGCTTGGATACATTCTTTCACTGATTGATAAGTCATGAGTTTTAGCTATGAGTTAAGATTATCTCTGGTGCACAAGGCCATTAGACTTGGAGGTCTGAAATTAAGGGGGAAAAAAGCTGAAATTCCCCCCAAAATTTGATTAAAAAAAAAATATATATATACCATGAAGTTTGGACAATTTGCCATCATATCTAAGCTAACTAGAGGAAAGCATTTACATCCACGATCTTAAACCATTTATGGTTATTTTCACTTTTTAAATACGGTTTCCTTGCATTAAGTTTAATGCATTTAAGACCTAATAAGAATTTACAAACTGGCTCTTCTTTTGGCTAGAAACATTGATTCTTGCCATTCAAATCGGTTTCGCTTTTCCAAAAAGGAAACTTCCCATTTCGAAATGGAAGCTGGTTGCCAAGATGGTTGAACATCTATGAGCACTTTTGAGAAGTTATTTAAACCATTCTCTGAAAATTGGTTTATCAGTGCTATGGTAAAAGCAAAGCATTGACATGCCAGTGTTGCACAATTTTAATACTGGGTGAGTGTTATCGACAGTGTTTGCCGCCATAAATTTGAGCTGTTTCACAATTAGGATTTATTAAAGGTGCTGTATGTAATTTTTGACAGTACAGAAACGTAAAAATAGCATGTTTCCTAAATCTCTGCAAACATATGGTAAGTTCAAAGACTCGTTTCTCCGTAAAAGAATGCAACAGCCAGTTATTTTACTTCGAAATGTTCGAGTAAGAGTTTTTGTTTTGGTCCATTTGGTCCCGCCCCCTGCCAATTTACCCAATAGTATTTCGACAGTCGCCCGTTGGTGGAAAAGCAGCGTATTGCAGCCATGGAAGCCAGCAGTCGAACTGGGTCAGATCACCGATTCTACCAGATCTAAAAAGCCTCTGCAATAAAAACATTGCAAATGTATACATTAGCTGATCAACTTGCAGTGTAAGGCTTGTCTCTTTCCATTGTTAATCGCGCTCCTTCCTGTTGCATGTTCTCAATCTGGCAACCAGTGAGCATTGAGTCTCTCTCCAATATTTAGAATTTAGACTGCAGTACCATTTCCACTGTTTGCTGTCAATATTACATACTGCACCTTTAAACCTGAAATGGTATGCAAATATAGTTCTGATGAAGCGGATTGGTGGTGGCATGAAATAAGTTCACCCTATACATAAGTCACTAAATGAATGTTATTGATCTTATAGTGAACAATTAATCTGCATATTTTTTTAAATATATTTTAACCTTGTTATTCTTAGTCAAAATGTCATAACTCCATCTTCTGGATAGTGGATTTCTCCAATCATTTAGTCTTAAACTAAAACCCCTTACACTTAAACCTCGCCCCTTTCTTACAATCGACCGCAAGCTTTCATTCAGATCTGCCACCATCCAAACAACAATCGATGAATTGAACCAAGTCCCAACCCTACTTTTTTTCTTCAACATGCTTCACTGGGATGCACTTCACAATTTGGAACAAAAGATATGTCACTACTTGGGTTTCATTGCAACTGACTTTGTATCAGAATTTAATTACTACTAGGGCTGCCCCCGACTATAGATTCTTCTAGTCGACTAGTAGTCACTTATTTAAGCCATTAGTCGACTAATCGCACGTTTATTTTAATTGAATTACTTAAATATATACTGAGGGGAATACTAAACCATGAGCGTTTAATATTATATAATATAGCCTATTCCAAGCTCAAGGGCTCGCATAAAGCTTGCTGCAAAACACTGGCAAAAGTAATGATTATAAATGTTGCAAAAAATAGCATAGAGACTTTTTAATTATTTAATAAACTAGTGTTTTCTGTGACAGTGTCGGCTGGAAAGATGAAGTTGACAATGCTGCCTCACCATCTCCACAGTATAGAGAGAATATAAATATTTTTCGTATATATTATACATTTCAAGCTTTCTATAGATTTATTTCCCATGTCTGTGAGGCAAGTAGCCTATATGCTGAGTTTCGGTTCATTTTTGTGACGCGCTCCATTTCACGGAGACCGAGACGGCAGAAAAAGCGCCTCCTGTTTATCTTTATTTTACAAAGGCACAGTGTTTTATTTGCTAGGGTTAGTATTAGACTGTTTGGAATGATGTATTACTCTAATCTGTATGACCAAAAATGACGGTGTATGTTAAGTAGTTTCCACTGTTGTCAGGAAAAAATTCAATGGATCGCACCTGCGCCTCCATGTCATGAAGCGCGCTATACTTTAGCTTCCACACTCCGCTCAAACACTTGGATATGCGCATATTTATCTAGGTTAACGTTAAAGCGAGCAGCCATTGAAAGTTGCTACTTGCATGTTCCAAACGATAAGGCGTATTTGACTAACGTTTAGTCGACTATTAGGGGCCAGCCCTAATTGCTGCACAATCTCAAAAGGCTCTATAGTTGAAAATAAGGTTTTCAATCTGATGCCATTGGTGAACAGTTTTATAGTTGTTTTAGAAAACCATCTATACTGGTACTTCATAAAGGAGGTCTTCACTTTAATCCTGATCTGAAGAACCTATAATATAACATCAAGAACCATACATCCAAATCAAACCCATATTTAACAAATCATGTACAATGTTGTATTACAATTTGATTTTGCAGTTTGTCTCACTTTTTGCTTTCCTTCTGGGATTTTTTTTTTTTTTTTTTCATTGCAGAGAAACTGAGAAATGCTAAGGAGGAGAACGTCAAGATCCATGCCACTTTGGACCAGACCCTGAGCGAGCTCAATAGTTTCTAAGGAAGACCTGGAGCCCAAAAAAAAAAAAGCCTCCTCTTCCCTTCCTGACACCCTCATCTCATTGTTTTTTTCTTTGTCTCTGCACATCTGATTCTGCTGTTTTTCTGATCCCCTGTTCTCTTGTTCTACTGGAAGACGGGCTCACCAAGCCAACCAGCAAAAATGCTGTGCCTCTCAATGGTTCAAAAGTACTTAATAGGCTTCACTGCTCATCTCAGCAAATCCCATGTGATTTCAGGAACAAACTACTATGGTATTCTTAAAGTGTCAAATGTTGCATGCCAGCCCTGGGGTAGCATTTTTTTTTGGTTTTGGTCCATGATCAGAGCTTTATGATTGTGGCAAGTTTTTTCACATTAGCCAAAACCCTCAATTTTTTCTTCATTTTACTGGAGGGTGATTTACTTAACATTTTGTGCCATAAAAGCCATCTTGGCAGTCTCATGCTTGGCTTTAGATCACTCTACAGTCATTTTGTCCTGTTGATCCTGTGACGCAGGATGTTTTTGCTGGTCTTGTTGGTGCCTGATCCACTGTTCTCCTCTTACCACTTCACTCTTCTCATCCTGCACAAGTTTCTGCTGCCTGTTTGTCGGCGTCACAGGTTTTGGGACCAAAACCACACCGTGTGGTCTGTAACAGTATGCACAACCATGTCTTGAGGGCCGTTGTTGTTTTTTGTCGTTGTTTTTTGTTTTAATAAAAGCCTTTGCTTCGATTTTGGAGTTTTTTTTTTTTATTTTATTTTTTATATATAATGTATTCATTGTTTGGGTTTAATCCCCCTGCATATTAACACAAGTATGGCAAACCACTAAGTGAAATGCTGCACTGTTATGGGCTTAAGGTGGGCATCTTTTGAGCAGAGGCCAACTCATGTTTTTTCATTCACTCTGGTGGCCTGTTTTGGTATTTTTCCTTTTTTTTTCTTTTTTTCTTTTTTTGCTTTAAAGAGCCGTATTCTACCCAGGGAAGAAAGGTTTAGGTTTTTTTGTTTTTGTACCGTGGGTTCAAAGCAGTGGCACTGCCAGATTCTAAAGGTCCAAAAGCCGTGCAGATCTAAATATGTATTATGAACACAGTAAATGGGAGTGAAAAGTAACACTTAATAGTATAAAGATTAAAAAAGGGTGAACACATAGTTCTAACTGGAAAGAGCCCACAATGATGTGTAATCACTTTGTTACTGTCTGTATCTTGTGTAATGATACCTAAATTCTTTTTTAAATAAAGACCATGATTTTTACTGTCACTGAACCACTGTGTGTCTCTGGATTCTGGAGTCTCTTCTGATTATTGCCATTTAATTGAGGAATTATCTGTAGTGTGGTTTCTAGAAAACAAAGACTGAATGCTCACAAACAGTCACTGATATTTATTTAGAGATGGACATCAGTTTGTCAGGAAAAAAAATCTAGTTTGACCTTTTAATTTTCAGTTATGATAAACATACAAGGTTTTAAAACTTATTTCAGATGAAAATAACTAGGATTTTGAAAAATGTAAACAACATTCTGATAAATATTTAACATGGCATACTTAAGACCCCACTGTACGTGAATTGAGTAGTCTAATAGTTTTAAATAATAGTCAAACTGTGTGTGTCATTAAAATACAGTACTGTTCAAATTTTTGGATCAGTAAGACACTTCTTTTTTGTTTTTAAATCTATTTCAATAGATAAAAAAAAATGAGATAAAACAATGGCACTGACATATTTTAAGACATACCAGAGCAAGTTGCTTTCCGTTAACGGCTCAAACATGCATTTTAGTCTGGGACTAGGGTTAAGCCTTATCTGTGAAACCAGGGGTTATACATTTTTTTTTATATGGGCAAACATAGTGTATGTGTACTTGTATGTGAATGACCTCCTCACAAAGACAGATGTATGGTGTGTGTGTGTGTGTGTTAACTTATATATAAATTATATTTTGCATTTGTGAATTCAGTAATTCAGTCTAGTAGAGTGGGTCGTTCTCTGATTTCCACAGCAGCCCATCTGATGCTGACAAGCGGTTCTTCCCCCCAAATAGACAGGGAAGTTTATGGTTGGCCTTCATCACCACAGCAACTGTGCAGGAATTTGGTTTTCTAACGGCCTCGCACCAGGGCGGGTAATCGACTGGCTGCTTTCCACTAGAGGACAGCAAAGAACAATGAGCTTCAATATCAGCTACATATAGAGGGCTGTTGTAGTCATGCAAGTATGCGCTTTTGAGAACTTACTGTTCACAGCAGCCCACTCCAAAAGGCTCGAAACACACACACTGGAAACATTCGTCATTTATCCAGGACTCCCCGATGTCAAAAGCATGGCCTTTGTGTTCACAGCTGGCTGCAGTGAAAGAGTGACTATTACCACTTAAAGTGACAGATCATTTGATGTACATTCAAACTGCTTTTATTGTTGGACTGAAACAATTTTTTTACCGTATTTCCTTTCTAAGATCTGCGTTTATCTGAACCCTTTCCTTTGTATTGTTTAGTCTAGTTTACCTTTTGCATTGAAGTAGCATTCTCCTCCGCCGGATAGTCCACGACAGAGCTGGAGGACGTTAACCACGCAAAACACAGCTAGCAAAACGTTCATCTCGCTTGTCTGCATGTCTAGAAGGAAAACAATGGAGGGTAAATGAGCAATTGCACATTTATTCTCAAAATTGAATGATAGGATTCAGATTCTGTGTGCTACTAGTGATATTTTTGTATTTACAAGCATTTAGATGCAATTAAAAGCACAAACAAGCCATTTTCTATTCCACTAATATTAAAAAAGGATACTGTAAGAATCCCAAAGGGAGTGTTTGTAACACTCTTGAAAAATGCTTTTATGAAAAAATATTGTTGCTTGTAAAAAAAAAAAAAACGTTTAGCTCTGGTATTGTTTGTGATTTTAAAATAAAGTTACATCTAATTAAGCGTAAGCAGTGCAGAATGGACCATTACAGGTTTTACTTTGTACATTATCAGAATGTCAGATCAGATTATTATTATTGAATGCTGGATAAAATGAGTATATTACAAGATGTTTACAATTTATCTAAAAGAGAAATATTGCAATATTAAATCGTATCTTATTCTCATCTTTTTCTTATCTATTTTTCCCAATTTTGCAGTATTTGTTTTGCCGTATTTGTCATAAAATGTGTCATATGGCTGTGTGTTTGTAATATATTGCCAATTTATAATAAAGACTGCTTGCTGAAGCATTATTTATTTGTGTTGTATTTTATTATTAGTTTTTTCCTATTTTGTGATGCATTTAATGCATAGTAATTGTATCTTTTTTATTTTCATCAAGTGGGTGTCATTTTTAATCTTTTGTTATATTGATTATTTTACTTGTTTTCATTTGAAGCACTTGGTGCTTGTTGTAATGCTTTTTTTATTGTGAAGACTTTGAACTGCATTCATGAAAGGTGCTATCAAGCCTATTATTATTATTTCACATGTTATCTTAATAATGACTTTTTGAAAGTTGATTAGTCCTTTAGCATTACATTTTTAAAGAGATCAGTTTCTTACCTTTTAAGATCTGTTGCTGTACCCGTCCTCTGTCCTGGTCTGGTGTGTTCTTGTGTTCTCCCTGATGCTCACAGCAGCTTTATATACCTGCATCTCTCTCCTCTCATCTTCACCTCTCCCCCACTCTGTCATTTATGTTTATCCTCACTCTATTCTTTCTCTCTTTTCTTTCTTTCTGTGCACACAGAATGTTTTACTGCTGATAAGAGGGGTGAGCCTAAAGGACTTTTATCATTTAAAGTTTACTTGAATTATGTTTTTATATTATATGTGACCCTGGATCACAAAACCAGTCACAAGTAGCACGGGTATATTTGTGGCAATAGCCAACAATACATTGTATGGGTCAAAATTATCGTAATCTTTTCATATTTTTCTTTTATGCCAAAAATCATCAGGATATTAAGTAAAGATCATGTTCCATGAAGATATTTTGTAAATTTCCTAGCGTAAATAGGCTATATAAAACATTTATTTTTGTGAGTGAATGCAGCACAATCGCGAACATAAATGGACAACTTTAAAGGAGATTTTCTCAATGTTTCGATTTTTTTGCATCCTCAGATTCTAGATTTTCAAATAGTTGTATCTCGGCCAAATATTGTCCTATCCTAACAAACCATACATCAATGGAAAACTTATTTATTTATTTCTATTTTTTATGTATAAATCAAATTTATTTATTTTTTGTTGTAAATTTCCCAAAATTTACCCATGTGACTGGGTTTGTGGTCCAGGGTCACATATTATATATATTATATTATTTTTACAACCACAATTGGCACAAAAAAAAAAAAAGAATAAATTATGAATTATGTTTTTTTACAAGTTATATTATTACAACCGCAATCAATTTAGCATTCAATCAAAACATTGTAAGTTTGTAATAATAAAAGCCTTGTTAAAAAATGGGTACAAAATGTAATAAACTATGAATTATCTTTTTATTTTTCCAGTTCTTTTATATTATATTATATTATATATTTTTTTCAAACACAATTGGCAAAAAAAATGGAGAATAAACTAGCTTCTACACTAATTTAAGTCTTGTTTCTATAATTGCACTAATTACAGTACTTTTTTTTGTTATTTATTGCTTATTTTCAGTGGTTACATAATTGTAACAATACAAGACAGGTGTCTGCTTCTGGTTTGTAGTTACCTCATACTTTGCCCTTTCAAAGGTCAAAGGTCACATTATAACTTTTAGAAGCTGATCATATTCGACTTCACATCGGAGAGGTCACCCATGCAACAGATTGTTTTATATTATCAGGGTTGACGTCACAGACACTAAGTCTGCATGTGTGTGTGTGTAAACAGCATCTTTACACACAGTATTGTCTCTGCATGCACACAGATAAAACGTGCCGTTGTGTGTCCCACATGACATGCACACACAGGCAAACATGCCTGCGGAATTAATATATGACGTCACTGATGCTCTTGCATCCTTTATGTGTGTCTGAGTCGATGTATTTTGTTGTCAGTCATTAGTGATTATGGAAATCTATAACAGTCTTTCTGCCTGTGTATTGTTGTAGCATTGCGATACCGATAAACTCATTAGTTCAGGGGCTCCAGATAACAAAGTGTAAAGAGATGTTTGGGAAGACAAGATTGTGTTTGTCTAATTGTCTTTTATTGTCTGTTTTGTCTTGATCTTTGCAGCACTGCTAATGCAAACACACCTGCTGCACATTATTGTTGTACACACACACACACACACACACACACACACACACACACCCACACACACACACACACACACGTTGAGTTTCCATGTTTAATGGGGACTTTCCATAGACAACAATACTGTACAAACTGTATATTCTATCCCCTATCCCAACTTTCGGCATTTCCTTTTCACATTTTCAAGAATTTTTTTTTTTTTTTATAATTATTTATAAGCTGTCTTGTTCCCAAATGTCCCCACAAGGTCAAAAATGACTGGTATTGTGCAGACTCACACCACAAACTCTTCATGCAAATTAAAAGTAGGCTATGACATAACAATCTTAGTGTACACTGGATTTGTTCCGTCAAACAGAACCTAAAATGGGTGATTTATGTTTTGTAACTATCGTTCAAAGTATCAAGTTTAATTTTGAAGTTTTACATCTCTTATGCTGCATTTATTTGATCAAAAATACAGAAGAAGCAGTAATATTGTGAAATGTTTCTTCTTATAAATCTTATAAATGTCTTTACACTCACTTTTGATCAATTGAATGCATTCTTGCTACATAAATGTATTAATTCCCTTTAAAAACTCCAGACTTTTGAACTAAATCAAATATGGAATATTACAAAATATCAAGTCTTTCACATAAAAACTACATCACATTTTATAAAAAAAAAAATCAGATTCAAATTCAAGTTCTATTCTGTTATATTGTACCGTATCAACAAACAGATGAGCTTTGGAAAATGTACATCTTTAAAATACTCATTCAAATACTTGAGTACAAGTTATGCCCATGACTTGACTGGAAATATTGTAATGGGGCAACTTGGCAAAGCTAGTCAGCTCTGAACTTCTTGGTCTAAACCACATCTTATTTCCTCTTCACATCACATGCTCTTGGTAAAAAGTTTCCGTAGTGTTTAGCTTCAGCCCTTACTTACTTCAGCCCCTACCAGCAAAGGTAAGTGTCTTTAAAGCAGATTTTTAAAATGAAAAATGTTGCATTAAATGAATTTATGAGACTGGAAAATGAATGCAATTTAGCAATGTAACAGTCACGGTACAATCAAACCTAAATCAGTTAACCTAAATATTAAAATGTCCTTTTTACAGATGTCTGAGGGAAATCAAAGCGAATGGTAATACTGCATACATTTCTGTACCCATTGATATCATCTTTTCTCCTTTAACAACATGCAGTGTCACAAGACAATGATAATTCAAATTTAAGTTAAGAGTTTCTCTATTACTTGTTGGAATTGTTTTGAAACCTTAATGGGTTTTCTACAGCGATTGCAAAGTGAGAATCGGTCATTCGCTGAACGAGGCTGAAATAAACCATGTGACCAGCAGGAGAGAATCAGCTCTGGAGTGTCTTAAAAAACACGGCATACAGTGTAGCCTGGTAATATTCTGGTTTTATTCTAAACTTTTAAACGAACCTGAATGAATTGCATAAAACATAATGTTATACAAATACGGAGAACAGTTCTGTTTAGGGAAATGTCTTACTTGGAAAGGTTTGTGCTGTCATCTACAAAGGCAAACGCACTGAATTCCTTAAAAAAGGCATATTTACATACCAGTAGTTGCTTAATGAGTGTTTACTGCATTCTTTACAGGAGGATCTGCCCAACATCGCTGTGTTGGCTTCAGGAGGAAGTGAAAGAGCGATGGTGGGTTTGCTGGGATCACTGGTCGCTCTGTCTCAAGATGATCTGTTGGACTGCATGCTGTATCTTGCTGGGCTCTCTGGATCTACCTGGTAAATGAGCAAATACATGCGCTCAAATTCAGATCATCAGAATATTAACAAATGACGAAACTTTTCTTCTTCATAAGGTGCATGGCGTCTTTATACAAAGTACCAAATTGGTCCAGCAAGCTGAATATAGTGAAGGATGACATCGAACAGAGACTTCTAAATGGTGACGTCAGATTCAAGGACAAATTGTCGACACTCAAAAAATACTACAGACAAAAAGACAATTTCAGTCTGACAGACATCTGGGCAGTGCTGGTTATTAGCGAGATTGTGAAAGAGGTAAGATAAAGGGATATCATATGTTTAATGCAATCATTTAGCACATTTGCAGAATTTGGCAATATTCTGCTTTTTAAAGAGTGGAAATCGTGAAAGTAATTTTGATTATTTTATTCTATTGACAGTCTTGGTTTTTTAAGTAAATATTTACCAGATAATATTTTATAATATGGGTCTTTAGACATGAACATTTGTGTTAATTTGTCATTAGCATAAGTGGAACACTGTATTTACCTTGTATTGTCCTGTGGATTTTCATTTACAATTCTTCCAGATTATATTCTGTAGCTCATCACAAAGTGGGTAGCTTCTATCCATAACATCCACAGACAAAAAGGGCAAAAATAACAAAACACATTACTTTTAACTTTCAATAAAAAAGTTGTAGTCAGTGTTCTCAGTGAATAGAACGTTCAAAGGAACAGCATTTATTTGAAAAGACACTCACTTTTTAACGGTAGTGAATTTTTATACACAGACACACACACACACCAGCAGTATTTACGAAACTATTTTGCGCTGATTTGAACTTTTTCTACAGATAGATAACTGTACTATTACCAGTCAGAGGAGCCAACACAGCAAAGATCCTTATCCCATCTACACCGTGACTGATATGCAGAGCAGATATGATAAACTAGAAGCAGGTAATATCAGTGTGTTTGTGCGTTGTATGTGTTTTCACTATTTCTGAGACTTACAGTGTTCTGCCATAGAGAAATTTGTTGAGATCACACCACATGAGACTGGCTACTCCATTAGTGGGGCCTTTGTAGATACTTCCTGTTTCGGAAGTCAGTTTGACCAAGGGGTTAAAATAAAAGGCCAGCCTGAGATGGACATGCTGTTCTTGCAAGGTGGGCTGAAACAACACATACTTGTTTATCTTTTAGTTCACCTGCCATTCACTTGTCTATTTAGTTGCTTGCTGATTTTTTTTTTTTTCTGCAGGTATGTGTGGTAGTGCTCTTGCTGACCTAGAAAAAATACTGGAAGCACTGTTACATTTCATCAAAGGTAAGTCCACTTTGTTCATATTTGCCCAGTTAAAAAAAAAAAAAAAGACAAGGCTTAAGCCTAGTGCAGACTACAATGCTTGTTTAAATACCGATTCTTAACTGAAAGCAACTTGCACTGACATGTCTTTAAATATGTCCTGACATGGTTTTATTTCAAGATGCACACCAGTAATGTTTTTTCTAAGGCACGTTTATAATAGCTACTTAAAGGAAGGGTAGGTGATTTGCTCCAGAAACAATATATATAGGCTATATATACACACATACTGTATATAAGGGTGATTTGGACATAAGGTCGAATGGGACAGTATAACTATACAGAGTTTATTTTCTCACCTAATGAGTGAAAATTAAAAACTTTTTTTGCTGAGCCCTAGCTGTGAGACCACATAATCAAAATTGGATGCCCTTATTGGTGTGACATACTGTAGGTGGGCGGGGCAGGCATCAAACAGGAAGTTGACCCTGAACTACATGAACTGAGGAAAATGACATTAGCTTTTGCTGATTTCATAATAACGTCCTAAAATTGTCGTAGCTACTATATTGTACAAACTTTTGATGGAAACACAAAAAAGTAATGATACAAAAATGTATGTTTCTATTTTCAGAATAGGTTGTTTTTATTTTGACAGTATGATTTTGGGTGATTGGGACAGTGCTTAAAGGCTTTGCTAATTAAGAAAATGATTAACCTTGCAATAGAGAACCATTGTTTATGCTCTGTATGCTCTAAATCAGTGGTTCCCAACCTCTTTATTTGTGTAAGCCCTAATCAACGACCTAAAATAAAATAAAACGACCTAATTCTGAAAATAGAAACATTATAGTTGACAATTTTTTACTGATTGTGTTGCAGTAATCAACCATTTGCATGTTTCCATTAAAGGTTTGTGCAGGTTAAATGTGTTTGTCAAACAGTTAATTCGTGGAGGCACCCAACATCTCATTCAAATACCCTTCTTAGATGCATCGTGATGCAGACGTGGACGATTCTGAATCGATTCACAAATGTCAAAAAATCGATTTTCAAATTGTTTTTTTTATATATATATAATTGAAAATCGATTTTTGGCATTTGTGAATCGATTCAGAATCGTCCACGTCCATATATATATATATATTTATAATATATAAGCAAGATCACGGGAATCAATAGCCTAATACAGCCCAGTTGTGCTAAAATAAATATCATGAGACGTCCATCATCAGATGAATGACATGGAAAAGTTAAGTTAGAGCCGCTAAAGCCAGTGCTAACGTACTACCCATGCGAACATGAACACTAAGCTTTTCCCTCCAAAAATATAGCCTAAAACTTATCTAAGTTGTCACCCTGCCTCTCTAAATGCAAAACTGACATTAACAAAATGCAATAACAGCTTAAAAAGTACTTGGGTGTGTGTTTTATTTTACCGTTTAATAATGCAATCGCTGCTGTCTGTCCATAGAAGAACATGACAGCCCGCGTATGTTTTGGAACTATTGGGGCTTACATGAACCACGTGACAGCCGTCGCGGCGACATCAAAGCATGTCGCGGCGACATCAAAGCATGTCGCAACTCTTTCTCTCTATGGCTCTGGGGGATAGTAATATTTTGGTTTCTGCAAAACAGTAAAGATAAGTGGAACTGAGACAATACTGATAAAAGAGGGATGCTTGTTTGAATGATTTTATGTTAGAGATTCAGAATATGCTGAAGTTTGTTATAATTTGTTATTGTTATATTTATTAATTTACTACAAGTATGCTGCTAGGTACACATTTATTTTCCTGTTGGTTCTTTGCAATGTTAATAAAATATATTGTACGTTAATTCTTTATGGGTCATTTACTTGGTAGGCTACTTTTAAAGCAAAGTATTTATAGTCTCTCACCCGCGCGCACACACGCACACAAAAAAGATTCAGATAATCGATAATCGCTTTAGCATCGAATTGCTGCCCTCTGAATCGTAATCGAATCGAATCGTGAGGTGCCTAGAGATTCCACCCCTAGTATGTAACACATCCTTTCATTATAATATATAAAAAATTCTGTTCAAATGTAACATTTTCAGTAGGCTATTACAGAAATGTATCATGTGTTGGGCTGATGTTTTAAATGTATGGCAAGAAACCTTTTCGAATTCAAAAACTGTCCCATTCACCCAATATGATATGAGCAATTTCACTCACGAGTAGCAGTGCTATACCGGTGTATATCAGCACGGCTGTGATTCTGCCGTAGGCAATGACAGCGTGCGTGCTGCTGATATACACCGATATCGCACTGCTACTCGTATGATATTGCGTTTATACAACAGTTCAACCGCACACGTGAGTAAATAAATAATAAACAACCATGGAGTGTCTTTAAACCCCGTCTTTTGTGCAGAACTACTTCCTTCCGCCACTGATTCAAGTTTGACAGTTGAGGCCATGCCTCCGTTACTAAGTCTAAACGTCACTTTAGAACTAACGATGAACGTTGAGTTGCTTCCTTGAAGCTTTTTTACAGATCGACTAAACGAGTGTATTACCTGCATCTGACATACATTCTTCATTCTTCTTCATTCGATGTCTATTATTATGTCCAAAAAAAAAAAAAGATTAATCTGTCCGCTGAGGAAAGAAATATGTCCGTCGTTGTCCTTCCCTCTTTTAACGTTACTGTCTATGGTCCTTGAATGACAGCGCTGCTAAAACAACTTCCTTGTTCTGACTCAATCATAAATACAGTCTTTGCCGCCATCTAGAGGCGTAATAATGTAACTTTCACTTAAATTCATACCACGATCCTTTCTCAATATCAAATACGGCATATTATTTATATAGAATAATATTTATTGAACAACAATTTTTAAATTAACAACAATATCCATTATAAAAGACAATAGGAAATAAACACAAACAATTCAGTCAAACGTACAAACAGCACTCTAGTACAGATTCAAGTGAAATATAGCCAAATACATTTTAAATATATAAGACTGGGCGAGATGACGCTGTTCTCTGCGGGTAACTTACATGAGCACCGAACGGCCGCTGACGGGCTGGAGCTCGAACCTGCGAAAACTTCTGAATCTGAACAGATCATACATTAGGCACTAAGATTATATAGGCCTATTATTCACGTATTTGAGGTCTAATTTAACTACATTCTCGCCTGAAAAAAACTACATTTCGTGACACAACTACAGTAGTAGCCTAGCTATTAAAAATATTGTGGATTTGCTGACAAGTGCAGCAAGCGGAGTGATACATGCGGTGAAACGATACTGCTGCAAATATCGCACTGCTGGAAAAGGCTCTCAGCCAATCAGATTCGAGAACGAGAAAGAACCGTTGTATATGCGATTTGTGACTAATCAACACAATAAATCAACGCCAAAATGAATCTACAGCAGTCAAGTAGTACAGGTCAGAGCTCTTTTAGTTGTTTATGTTCATTATCATTGCAATGTTAAGTGCTTTGAGACATGAGGTAGTAACTGACGCTTTTGTTTGCTCCCTGCTGTGCACGTTCATGTGTGTTGAAGGAGGCGTGTCTTTGGAGACGCTCTGAAGGGAGGGTGGGATCTCATACTTTCAAACCTAGCTCGCTATTGCTACTAGCCTCTCTGAAAATTGCCTATCCTACCTTAAAAGTCATAGTTTAAATAAGGCCTACTCCTGGCTTAATCTAAGCCGTTTGTGAAACCAGGCCATTGCAAAAAAACATAATATTGTGAAATATTATTACAATTTGAAATAACTGTTAATACATTGTTTGTAATATGTTTTAAAATGTCATTTATTATTGTGATGTTGCAAAATGTAAATATACAACCTGTTCTTTTTAGACCTAATGTTGCATGAGTTGGACATAATGGGTGACCAAGCATCTTCAGAAATAAATCAAACAGACGTTCACTCCCTCAGTGATCCACGTGTGGACGAGGCTGGCAAAGTGCTTTTGACACTTGTGGAACTGAATCTGCTGGTCTTAAGAGAGGAAGAACCTTCATCTCACATGCAAACTCTGCTGATTGACTCACTGAGTATCCATCACATTATATCACATTATATCTAAAACATTGAGTTACGTGGGTATGAGAATGAGAAACATGCTTTATTACTTTGATTAAACCCACTTTAAAATCCTGCCAACTTTAGACTCAGATCCACTTCAATGTGTTCAACGTGTGCTAGAAATTCAGTGCATGATATAATTATGCTATGTATTTCAGAAGAGCTGGACAAAGAAAACAAAGAGAAACTAATCGCCATGTCAAAACACATGAATAAGAATAGCATTAAGGATTACACACATTATATATGCAACCTGCAATCATACTGGAATCCGACATGTGAGTTTTCCCTTTTTTTGCATAGTATGCGACTCAAAACACACTTCTATTCTGTAATTTGTTTCTGTAATTGATATTGTGATTAGTGGAGTAAGAAAAGCCAGCTGATTTAGTTATTTTACATGTAGGTAAAAAAGGACCTTTTGCATTTAGTAGCTTTTGGAAATCATTTCTCTTATTTTAGGCAAAGAGATATGGACTATCATTGGTAAATGCATTGAGTTAGTTACTCTCTGGATCTGGGGCACAACATACAACTTTCTGTACAACATGGCAGGTAAGCTAAATTATTACGTAATAAATATAATTGATTAAAATATAGTAGTAAATATTAATAGTAATATCTATCAAATGTATATAACATTATATATAATAACAATTTTAATATCAAAATAGAGTTAAGTGCACATTACGTTTAGTAAACTCTGACATTTGTAGCAATGGCAGCATGTCTAAATGGCCGTAGACTTATTGTACTAGTACATTTAAAGTCAGAGGTGAAGCTTCATCTCTTGGAGATGTCTAGCTGTTGTCTTTCTACCTACAAATGTCTCATATTGCAATTTAATTAAATGAAGAAGGATTTAAAAATTTTACCATCATCCTCAGCGGAGAAGGTTCCACTTCCCCCCTCCATCTTTAAAGAGGAAAAGAGGCGTTATGTTGATGCTGGGTTTGACATCAACTCACCTTTTTTACCACTGCTGAGGAAAGAGAGAGACATTGACATCCTTCTCTCCCTCGATTTCAGTGAGACAGATCCATTCGAGGTAGAATAATTGCATACTGGGTTTTTTTCTTATTAAAGGTGCTCTATGCAACTTTTAGCGGCCTCTAGTGGTGATGTTTCAGATTGCAACAAGAGCGCTCGTGCTCGTGTGCGATCTCAGGAGCGAGCATTCACTACCGGCCACACAGAGACTTTCAACGCAACGGCGAAAGCATCACACATCATGCTGGAAACTCATGTAAACTCGCACTGGAACGTTACAATAATAGGCTACTTTTATCAGCTTGACGTTGAACTAATGCTCCATGCTCGTACCATGATAACGTTACATTGACTGCATTTAGCCGACATGTGATGTTATCTAGCATAGCCTACGGCATTTCACTAACTATTCGTGTATCTTTCACAATCAACAATGTCAACATAGGTGAATGTATAATTATGATAACGAAAACGGTTAGTGAACTAGACTGAACAATGTCAGTGTAACAGTAAGACAGTAGGAAGTAACATTACTGTACTGAACGTGTCTGGAAATGTTTATTATAAACAATATGATAGTGGGATGAATTACGTTATAGTGTAACGATCTATAACGTAGATCTAGTACATAAAACAAGTATCCTAAAGCACATTTTCTTATCCTGGAACAGTCTTTTGCATTCATTCCATGTCTCATGTAGTTTACCTTGCTATTTCATTTGAGTTTACTAATAATTCAAAAGCTCTGCCGATGTTGATCCGTGTTTTCGTCCTGAGTCGATCAGAATCACGTTTGGGCTGACGAGCTTCAGCAGTTACAACTTTGTTTTGTTTTTTATATTTATGTGGAGTTAGTGTTGGAGTGTGTGTTGTGCTAGAGGCAGGTCGTTTTTGGGTGTTATCAGACTCCATGTTGTCAGCTGCAGTGCCGTCGGCATAGACTGTATATAAGGAGAGAGGCTCGGGAGCGCGTATACACGTCACATCCGATGGATTTCGCGGTAAATCCGACCCGGAGACTTCGCATATAAATATGAATATTGGCCTTCAGAGGTAATAGCAAAACCCGACAAGTGGATCATTTTAATGTGTGATTACAACCCCTTCACACACAGGCAATAAAAAAAGGATTCATTTTAGAAGAAAAGTTCCATATAGCACCTTTAACCAGAATGGTGTATTAGTAATAATGTCCCCCTCCATGCACATTCTCTTTTATAAACATTGTTTTTAATTCACAGTCATTGATCAAAACCGTAGACATGTGCAAATACCTACACATTGATTTCCCTGAAATCCCTGAAGTATCAGAAGAGGAGAAATCTGCTCCAAAGGACTTTTATGTGTTCGAAGGCCCCAATGCACCAACTGTAATTCATATTCCTCTATTCAATATCAAGAATTGTGGTGATAAAGGTAATTGTCCAACTACTACTTTGTGATTGTTGAAATGTTCAAATTGTCACATTATTATCATTAATAATTATTTTTATTAATAATGATCATAATTATTATTATTTATATATTTAATAATGTATAAATGGATATCACAATTAAGGATTTTATAATCATATTAAAAACTGCAATATGCAGAAAAGCCAATCATGAAAGCTCACAAATGTCCTAAAATGTCTCTTTTAATAGAAGAAATTAGAAAGTGGAGGAAAAGATATAAAACCTTCCAACCACCCTACCACCGTAAAATGGTCGATGACCTACTGGAGAAAGCTGGAATGAACATCAAAAATAACACGGAGAACCTTCTGACAGTAATCAAGCGAAAGACATCACATTTTAGTTCCATTTCTTGATTCTCAGGTGTGACTTGTCACATCACAATGGAAACTCACTGGCTTTAGTTAAGAAGAGGTGGTTAGAATGAGAGGGTTTGTTTTTTTGAGAGAGAGAGAGAGAGAGAGAGAGAGAGAGAGAGAGAGAGAGAGAGAGAGAGAGAGAGAGAGAGAGAGAGAGAGAGAGAGAGAGAGAGAGAGAGAGAGAGAGAGAGAGAGAGAGAGAGAGAGAGAGAGAGAGAGACAAAATGTGCATATAAAAACATTTTGTGGAACATACAAGAGATATGGAATTGTATTTGTTGTTAATTGGGTTAATGGGTATGAATATAGGCCTACTAATGCAAGTCCCCCTGTCGTGAAAATCAGGTTTTTAATGTTGTTTATATGTCTATGTGGTGTTTTTTATATGTCTATGTGGACAAACACCATTGCTCAGTATTTTCTCCTTAAAACTGCAGTGAAAAAAAGACGATTTGAAATCGATGGTGTTTCTTATGTCTCAAACTACCTTGTAACCAATCACGTCAAGGTGAGGGCAGGCTTTAGCATATCATTAACTATAACCGCTCTGAAGCAGTGAAGTCTCAAGAGAAGTCTCAAGGAGATGATATGAAAAATCGGGGACATTTAGCAATATATCGGGTGAATTATGTATTTGACGTATATTGCCATATTATGACAAACTATATGCTTTTCTCCACGGACTTTCTATGATGTTTAGAGTGTTTCTAAAGATGCTGAGTATTAGAAGGCAGCTGTCTGACTCTGACATGGTAAACGAGAACATGGTTTGTGTAACATTAGCAACACATTATTAACTATACGTAGTCACGCCAATTGCTAATTATACTAATTGCCATTATGTGTCCGACGTTGTAGAGACACATTACCATTCTTTCTGATACATCGACTTGTAGACAAGCCCGTATGAGTGAGTGGAGGCGGGGTTCATTTGCATATTCACAGATCCGCATATACTAAATGTGTGTAGTTACATTCAAGCTATTTTAAGGCATGAATACCATTTTTTTCACAGAAAAAACACTTAAATATGTCATTTTGGTGATCAAAGATGAGTTTTAATGAGTTTTAGTTTTTATACAATTATTGACTAGGGGACTTTAATATATCTTCAAATCTGTGACTGACTTCTTATAGGCTAATCAAGTTCCTTTAAAAGTTTCTCCCACAGCTTTTGCCATGAAACCTGAAGCAACAATGGGCCTTCAGCCTAATGAAAGCACATCTGTAACCACGTTGTAACTCGTTATCATTTTTTTTTCACTTGTCCTTCAGTTCCTCATCTGCATTTGTGTGAAATTATCACAGATTAGTGCATCAGAATCAAACAAGAATATTAGAAATTGCTGTTGTTTTTATATTAGTTGAGTTGTTTTTGATTATAATCCATTAAATACATCATTTGTGATGCTATACTTTGTATAGAATGGGGTGTTGGATATGGGAATAAGCGATGAGTACAGAAGTAGAATTCTTAAGAAATTGATATTTTTTATTTTAGTAATCTCATTCTCAAAGTAGCAACATTTATAAATACAAACACACTCATGAGATCCCCTGAGCAAAATTTGTAAGATACTGTAAATCCAATAAAACCCGCAATAAAACTGACCTGATTGTTTTCTGTAGAGTGTCCATACTTTACTAATTTTATTTAGCAGATGCTTTTAATCAAAGCAGTTCAGCAATAATATAACAACCATCCGCAGAGATGCTACGTTTAATTTCTGGGAGGAATGTATAAGTCCATCATTTTAAAGCTGTTGAATGGTTGACACTGCTCTGATTAGACTTTTCCTTGAGGCAAGACTGCTGTAGTAGTGACTGCTGTGTTTTGAATTTGGGGGCAAAGATCCCTGTAATAAAAAAAGGCAGATATAAAGATAAATTAACTCTGACAGCAAGATTAATTTACATATCCTGGTGACCATGAATTAATCCATATCTGTAATCAGAGAGAATCATTTCTTCAAAAACTCACTTTAAGGTAGGATCCTTCTCAAGGTCTTGTGAAGAAATCTTCGCATGGGCACAGACTGGACTGTGATCCTGGAGCTGCTGTTTAAGGCTATTAATTTCTTCACTCCATTTTGTCTTTTCCCCTGCAAAATTACCTAAATAAGAGCAAGAGAGAGAATTATCGACACCTCTTTTGTTTGATATTATATGTTTGCTTTATGGGAGTTAAGGACGGTGAACTAGGGTACGAGACTTCTGGGAGACCACAAGGGGGTGCTAGTGGGTCAGTAAAAATAAAAGAATTTACAGTTTAACATTTATTATAAAATTATAAATATTATAACATTTTTACAATTATAAAAACATTTACTGAAGTTGATTTTATTACTGTTTCATTCTTCCTTTTCTAAGGATAGTGGGTGGAAAATGTTATTTTTTAATCATTTAATTAATACAAAATATTAAATTATAATAATTATCATCATTTAAATGTTATTAATGTTTTGATGTCAATCAATATATATATATATATAATATTATTAATATATCATTAATATAATAGAAATACTTATTTAATTTTAGATAGATGCTGTCCTTATAACATCATTCAGAATAATTTTCTCACTCATTATAAATATATAACATATATATATATATATATATATATAATATATATATATATAAATATAATATAACACACAATATAATAATATAAATATAGCTGCCTTTAAAATTCAGTTTCATTGCTGTGGGTCCTTGCATATTTAAACATACCATCAGTGTCACTCTTCTCTTTCTCCACGGCTGTAACATCATTATTCAACCCTGCCTACACACAACACAGAGGAAGATGGTTAGAAATGAGGACTAAACTATAGCATTTGTTACATAAAACACCCCATCAGCATGAGGAGTTTCTTTAGCATTACATAAAGTAGATACCAAAACACATTTCTTTTCAAACTATTCTTTTTTTAAAGGTGCCGTAAGCAATTTCTGAGGAAAGTGGATCGGACTAAGCACCACAACACACTTGTAGCCAATCAGCAGTAGGGGGCGTGTCCACTCATGATGGGGGGAGAGAGCGAGCAAGAGAGGTAAATTTGAATAAAAACAGTAGAAAGAGAGATGGCTGAGAGACATTACAAAAGAGAAAAGATCAGAAGAATATATCACTGGAAAAAGAAGGGTTATGATAAGGCAAGAGCTTTAGGAACTGTGTTAATATTAGAAAAGCTTTCCAGCGCTGGAGAGACCTAAGGCCTGAAAACGGACGCAGAGGTTGTGTTGTTTCTGCTCCACACGTGAGTAACTAGCCCAACGTCGTCATACTCAGATTCTAGTCAGAATGTGAGTCTGATACTGCTCCATTGGGCTGTGATTATGGGGCGTTTCAACCGAACTAGGAAAAAAAATGCCTCTGCACTCAATTGGATCAATTGACTCAATCCTGTAGGAAGGACGGCAAAAACATTTTTCCGATCGACAGATGCCTTGATTGCGGTTCTCTGTTCCTCTTTTAAAATGACTGCGCTGTCTACATCTTCTATAACAGACGCGATGGCTGAATCTTCACATCTAAATTCTCCAGCGGCAGCCATTCTTCATTTCCATTCAACGAATTCAACCCAAGCGCTCTTTGGTGACGTGGATGATTACGTTACAGTTGATCATCTGTCCATCAGCGTATAAAGCCCGACCTGACAATTTGATTGGTCTGAACAGCTCTGGTTCGGGCGTACTTGCTTCACAACGGATCAAGTCCAGACCGAACTTCCCATCCTCAAATGTTGTGGGCGGGGCTAAGTTCGGCTGGCATCCAGGCTAGTGAGTAAGGGTGTATTCACACCTGCCTTGTTTGGTTCGATTGAATCGAACTCTAGTTCGTTTCCCCCCTTGGTGTGGACCTTTTGGGCAGGTGTGAATACAGCAATCGAACTCGGGTGCGGGTTCAGCAATCGACCAGCTGAAGAGGTGGTCTCGGTACGGTTCCAAACGAACTCTGGTACGGTTCGTTTACGGTGTGAACATGAACCGACCCAATTGCAAGAAAGCACTGCGCCTTTGAGTTAACAGGCTTCCGTAGTCGGAGTTGCGTTATGGGAAAGTGATCTGTTGTGGCCTACTACATTACATCTGTTGCGCGTCTTTCTGCGCGTCGTGTGTGCATCATTGGAATGGAATGAATGAATGAGTGTGTGCATCAGGACATTCAAATACAGAGCGTTCTCTTTAGTCTAATCGCGCATAGATGCAAAAAAAAGCATTTGCAGTTCAAATAATGTAACAATAGTTACAATACAAGGATGATGCTGCGTTAATTTACGTTAAGCCTTATTGCACTTCCTGATTTCCCTACTTGAGAATCCTTGTCCAATGAATGGACGACCTTAGCACACGTGTGGTTTTGTTTACAAATTTTGGTTCACTTGCAAAAAGAGCAGTGTGAAAGCGAACCGTACAAAAAAAAAAAAAAAAGTTTATTTGGTCCGGACCAAAGCAAGTGAACTATCGGACTTTCCTGGTGTGAATACACCCTAACATTAGTTTTGCTATGTTTCACAGAACATGCTGTTGTTGTAATGTTAGCTATAATAACTTCATTTTTGTTCATCCTTGTCATTTATTTGTTATTTAAACTTATTATTTCGCTTTGCCTCAGCTATGATAAAGAGACATCCACTCTTTCATTGCGCGTTCGAGCATTTTGAGGACATAACAATGAAGGGAGTGTATATTCTTTGTGTTGCATTTAAATAACAACCGTGTTTCTCTTACGGCACCTTTTAACAACTGATTAAAATGAAAGGTACGATGATGTTGATTAAACTTGTGTGGTTACTACCAGTTCAACAGGTGAGTTGTTGTTAGTTGTTAAACCTGCTCTATAGCTGGGTGTCAGTGCCTTGCCCAGCATATAATGTATATTTAATTATGCAAATATTATACAATGTTATTACATTCAGATATAACTACAAACATTTGAACCAGGAAAACTAAAATTGACTACACTTTTCTGCCAGAAATGTAATCTTTTACTGAAATGTAAATCAAAGTTACTAATAGGCCATAACAGTGTATATATGTGTATTGTAAATAGTATTTCACAAATTTTCCTTAGGAAATAATCTCTCTCTCTCTCTAGAGAGAGAGAGAGAGAGAGAGAGAGAGAGAGTGTATATATATATATATTCTCTATCTATATAAATAATATATTGATCGACATTACTCACCACTGAATCCTTGCATGCTGTAACCTCTTTGTCCTTTACCTCCTTAGCAGAGGTTAATTTCCCGACTTCATCCTGAAGTGCCTTGATCTCCTTCCCTGCGTTGTCCATCTTCAACTCTGTGTCCTGAACTGCTAAATAGTAATTTTCTATACCCAGCTCTGATTCTCTCAGCGCTCCCTCTACGAACTCCATTTCGTTTGCTAGTTTGTTTACCGACTCCATTTTAATATGCATATATCCCAGCAAGGCCATGATCATAGCTATGGTTAAACACAAGATCAGGGGCCATGACTTCTCCATAGCTATGTGTATGTCTACAAGATTTTTTTAAAATCAATTTATAGAGGTTGATAATCAGGTTTGATTTCCTATATACATCAGTTCTGTTAATATAATCCTTTAGATGTCTTCAGTCGAAGTAACATATATGATGAATATAGCTGTTTGATCTCTAAAAGAAAATACAGAGAAACAGAGAAAAAATATTAATTTACAGTCATATAAATACCTTTTTTAAAAACAATGAATTTACAGTTATAATGACACATTTAAAATAATTAATATTACAGACACTTTAAAAAATAACGAATTTACACTATCAATAGGCCTATTGTTATGCAAAAAAGGCTATATTTTAGGCTATATTAGGCTATACACTCCATTCAAAACGTTTGAATGCCAAACAAATTTAAATGCAAAAACATTGAAATGCTGTCCTGATGTGAATTATTAACTTGTAGTATATTTTGTAATTATTTGACATAGCCTACTAGAAGCTTATTACATAGCTATTTCAGCACTACATGCTACAAGAATAAGAATGTCATTCAGATGAGTGGAATGAAACTCACCTTCGCCAAGAGCAGGACCACAGACAGCAGGACGCACACAGGAGTATCGTAGTTGCTAAACAAAGGTTGGTTGGGAGTGGACAGGTATTAAAATGGCGCTCACTGAACACAATATCACAAAAGATAAGGCGCTTTACAGTAGTAGGTAGCCTACATAGTAAAGCGCTATATAAATGCCTAATTCATTCATTCAAAAGAAACAGAAAACAACAGAAAATACCAAGAGTAAAATGAGTATATTTTACCTATGTACACCTATCTTACTCTTATCGCGATCTTTCCTTCCCTCTCAGTCATTCAAATGTGACCAGTCGGACCAGTTAAGCAACTAAATATGCAATTATAGTTTTATATGACAAGTGACCCATTTTGCAGTCCTGTTCCCCATCATGTACATACTAGCCTATTATAATGGTAATAAGTTACCTTATATTACCCATACTTTCTTAGATAAACTATGCTGTAACATGTAATTACATACAGTAAAATGAAGTGCAAAAAAGCCTAGGGTACACGATTTTTTATTGTAGTTTTCTGTTCATTCATATAAGTTTTCTAAATCCTTTAAAAGCTTTGAGTATGAGGAAGTATGTTTTGAGAGACCAGTCTACTCCTACGCAAAGATCCTGCCTCCACCAATGGCGTGAATTGTGGGCGTGGCTATCTGTTTATGTTAGTTTTTTGTTATGTTTTGTTTTTTTGCAATTTCCTTTGGGTGGCGCTGTTGCAGAAATGACATAGGCTAGCTAGCCTACTATTGGTTTTCGATTAAAATAAAATAAATGTTAATTCCGAAAGAAACTGTAAAGTTGTGTAAAGTTAAAAATTATATTTGATATTATTGAGTGTCTTTTGCACCCTGATACAGTGTTATATTAACCCTGATTCCTATACGATATGTTTGTCAATGTTTACATTGCTGAGGGACATTAACATTCTGTAACACAGTTCTGGTATGAATGCTTGGGACATTTTGTCTGTTGTAGGCTAATAGTCTACGAAACACATCACATTCTTTGTTCTTCTCTTACCAGGTATGCTGTAAACTGTGCCACACCTTTTTCTTTTCTTTTTACTGACATAATCACCTGCAGTCAAAATACCTACTGAAAGGTTTGTGCGATAGTCTAGACTCCATTTAAAGAACAAGCTGCTTTCCAGCAGATAACCTGTGTGATCAGCCTTTGAGAATGAACTTTCCTGTAAAGTTGGAAAACTTCAATTGCTTTCTCTCTCGTGTCATTCATTAGTGTCTATTGCAATGTTGTGGTAATTGTTTAATATCTATATAAAGTCAGCAAATAATGAGTATTTTGGGTAAACTGTTCCTTAAATGACAGTAACAAGTACTTATTTCTAATTTCAGGTGACAATTACTCTCCTGTAACAATGACGTTTATGTTCAACTGTCTGGAAATGTTCACCCATACTGTACAGCATATAGGTTTACAATACTCCACACTGGCAGTTAGTGAGCAGATGGCAGACATGGTTATGGAGAACCAAACCTGCAGAAATGAAATAAATACATATATAGATAAATAAATCATTGTAATAATAAGAAAATAAATAAAGGACTACATTTATTGATAAAACAAATATAATTCATTTTTATTTTTGTATTACTTGTATTAAATGTATTTTTGTATAACTTTTTCCCTTCATTTATTATTATTTTTAGTTATTTTTCAATGTATTTCTATACTTTTTTTTTTACTTTTCCCACATGAATTTATTTCCAGATTTATTTATTTATACATTGTTTTTCACAGATTCACATTATGGCGTCACATTAAGTGTCCACGGTTTTCCAGAAATATTTAAGAATGATTTTTAATAGTCTTTATTTCGGAGGTGAAATCAAGTGTTCCTGATTTATAGCACATTGATATTAAACACAGAAATGAAATAGATTAAAATATAGATTAAAATATCAATGTTAAAGATCTCATCTGGTTGCAACCTAACCCAAAAGTCACAATATTGCACCACTAGAGGGCACATGAATCCCACCACCCAGCTTGTGGGACCCTATAATGCTCCTTCTGAGCCTCTTTTTTCTGCACTGTATGTTTTCAATACAATTCAGTACTGGAAAGAATTAGAATGAGGTACATTTCTGTACCCTTAAGTCCATGTTAAAATACATATGCATAATCTAATTTGGTTTCTTACGTTTCCATAGTAGTCACTTAACTATTGTTATTTAACTTAGGCCTAAAATATTTAGCCAACAGAGCTCATTTAAATTGAATTTGTTTTCAGTCTAGGTTAATAGGAAGATATTTATTGTTTTGACGCATGAGCAGGCCATGAAGTTCGAAACAGTTTGCCAAAGTGAACTTTCTGGAAATGTTCGCTCTGGCATGTAAACACCTTCGAACTACCATTGGTCTGTGTGGCGATTACCTAATAGGTGCTCTGAGGCTCCGCCTTCTTTGATTTGGAAATGTTGGCCCTGTCCCACATGGCACACTTAGGGCCCTATTTTAACGATCTAAGCGCATGGTCTTAAGCACACGGCGCAAGTGCACTTAGGGCGTGTCCGAATCCACTTTTGCTAGTTTAATGATGGGAAAAATGGTCGGTGCGCTCAGAGCATGGTCTAAAACGGTAGTACCTATTCTCCTAATGAGTAATGGGTGTGTTTTGGGATTTCCCTGTAAAAGCCAGTTCCCTTTCGCATTCCCTTTAAAAGCCAGTTGCGCTCGCGCCATGGCGGATTCGCTATTTAAATGGCCGAATTTGCAAGCGGAAGGATTGAACTCCAGAGAGCAAACGGATCTGCTCGTGCGCGAGGTTAAAGGGGCACTTGGCAACTATTTCAACTTAATAAAACCGTTTAGAAATCATTTGAATGGTTTAATAACCTGTTCTGGAGAGAATGGTGACTTTCCCCGCTCCCACCAGCGTTCCCGCAGGCGCAAAACCAACCTTGCAACATCGAGACTAACGTCCCGGTAAGTTGGAAATAGGAAGTCTCGTGAGAAGCGAGAACGAGCGAGAACGAGCGAGAAACACGAAACTGCTTTATGGCAATTCGACATAATATGATACGATGTATTACCCATCTCGGTAGACATAGCTCCACACGATAAAGTTGGCCGGCTCCGATAATAACAAATGCACATAAGCAGCGGTAGAAAGCGCGAGGAAGTTACCGCAAGTGAGTTTTTTTATGACAGTGTTGTGAAAATATACGCCGCACAGCTGTAGGTGGAGCTCGATGAGAAAACATGCGACAACAAAAGTGAAAATCAGCGAAGAAATGGCTAGAGTTGCCAAGTTCCCCTTTAAAGCGTGCAAGCAGACCATCTACGGGACAAGCCGGATACCACCATATCTTTATGTACACAATATTAATCTTTTACATTGCAATCCTTTTATTTGTAATATTTGCCATGTTTGTGTGCTGCTGCGCGCCCCCTTGTGTGTGTAATAAGCAGAGTGTACGCGCATTGTTGACCCGCCTATATAGGCGCACATTACTAACGTGCTTTTTTAAATAACAAAAAAAATATTACGTCATTGACTTTAGACCAGGTTTCAGTTGGTCAATGGCGCAGTCCATTTCAGTTGTTTCAAAATAGCAACGCGCCAACAATGCGCCTGGACACACCTCATTTTCAGACCAGACCCAAATGCATTAGTCTCGCGTAGCCAGACCTTCAGACTGACGGCTGAAGGTCTGGAATTCATAGCAGCTTTCTTTGGCCAAGGCCCGCCCATAAGGCCGTTTGACCGACATGTCAAACAACCAATTACAGTTTGTTTCGTTCAGTGTCACGTTTCGGGGCATAGAAATGTCCAAATGTCCCCAATAACAACAGACCGGCGTGCAACAAGTCAGTCAGCATAGAAAATCAAAGAAGGAGAAGAAAACTTCAAGAGTCTATGCCGTGAACCTCGCATACTTTTGAGAATCCTACGTTTAGCTGATCTTGATAAATGCTCATTGTCACTCATGTAAACACAACAGTTTTTCTTCCGCAATCACCAATCACACGTCTGCGCTTTGTTTCCCGGCGGACCGAAAATAAACGCGACACTCGCGCCCCCCGGAAATCCGATAAAATTCAACCAATCAGATGACGACTTCGACATTCCTGAAGTGTTTCCAGTTAAGTGTACCATATGCATCAGACGTTTAGCCAACGTTCCGTGGGCGTGACGTCTGAGGCTGAGACTACAAATGCATTTGCTTTTTAAACAACGTAGCGCAGGACGTGAAAATGATAACTGCGTCGGGCTGAAACAAGCAAAAAAACACTTCCGTCGTGTCTGGCGCCGCATTGGGCCAGGTCTATGATAGGGCCCTTAATGTGCTTGCGATCTTGTGGACTTACAATGTCCACTGTGTTCACGTGTCCGCTTAGTCCACAATACTGTGTCCAAATTTGTCATTGTAGGTTTCAGAAGGGTGCTCGCAGGCAC